TTCCCCACCATGGGCCTCTGCTCAGGGTTACTCAGACCTCAGAGGAAGGTCATCTTAAGAAGAGCTGGTCAGGAGCAGGGAAGGACAGCAGTCAGGCAGGCAGGGTGTTTTGGGAGGCTCTGCAGTGGGGTCTCCAGGGAGGAGGTTTGGGGCATGATCTTTTCTCCAGTAGGTGGAGGTGAGCCCTGCATGGTGCCTTCTCGTCAAACAGGTGAAAAGCCAGCACCTGGTTGTTTGTTTGTTTGTTGACTCATCTAGAACAGAAACCCAGGTAGGCCGATGTATGGGGTTAAGAAGTACTCCAGGAGCCTGTTACACCCTTGTTATGCTGCCTGTCTCCTTCCAGTATCTGAGGTTCTTAGAAGAAAAGTTCTCAGTTCTCGCTACAAGAACAGTCACAGAGGCTCAACAGTTGCAGGGCCAGTTCTTTCATCCCTCCCTGGACCCTTCTCTGTAGCTCTCCTCTCCCCATCCCCCTCCACCGCCTGCCCTGCTTTCCAGGCAGCCACCTCCTGTGGCTCCTCCACACACCTGCAAGTGGAACCCTGGTCAGGCCTGGACCCTTTCCTTCCCCCAATCATGGGAACACATCACAACCCCAATCACACACTCCCCAATGATGACCCGGCCTTTTTCCTAATTTATGAAATTAGGAAGTGACTAAAGAACATAATTAAAGCAAGTAGATAAGAGACACTTAAAAAGAATGATTCAGGCAAATAGAAAGCAGTTTGCCTCTGGGCTGGGTTACAAGTCTTGGAGAGCAGCTGGCATTTGATGACGTCCAGGGGGAGAGTGCAGGCGAGTAGGACCATGTGGCTGCCCCCCCCCCACCCCCGCCCTGCTACTTCTCATCCTCCCAGGTGAGTGGGGCTGGCCTTGCAGAACTGGAACCCCAGGGCTGGGGCAGGAGACTGAGAAGGTCTGAACTGGGGGAAGGAGACGTGTCCGGCAAAACAGCAGGACCAATTCCTTCATTGATGTATTTATTCATTTTAAAAAAAAGTATGTATTTGCAATGAATGGATAAACAAAATGTGGTCTATACACACACTGGAATATTTCTCAGCCATAAAGAGAAATGAATTCTGACACATGCTATACCATGGATAACCCTTGAAAACATTATGCTGAGTGAAATTTCAGTCACAAAAGGAAAAATACTATATGATCCCACTTATATAAAATATCTAGAACAGGCAACTGTATACAGACCCAGATTTATTAGTGGAAAGTGGAAGTCACTGCTTAGGGGAGCTGAATTTCTGTTAAGGGTGATGGAGAAACTTGGAAACAGATGGTGGCGTTGGCTAGACAGCATGATGAGTGTAATTAATGTCACTGAATTATACACGTCAGAGAAGTTGACACGGCTGATGTTCTGTTTTATGTATATATATAACCATGATAAAAACATATATGTTATATATATTTTTATATATAATATGTGTGTGTGTTTGCTATCTGATAGATACTGACTTGGGTGTTGGGGAAAGAAAATAAAAATAAAGAAAATAAATGGTATTTGTTTTCTAGGATAATGATTTTCAACTCTAACAGATTGATGGATGGATAGATACATAGATATATAGATATAGATAGATGATTGATGATTTATTGACAGACAGATACACAGATAGATGGATACATAGATGATAGATGATAGATAAAAAGACAGATAGATAGATGGATGATAAATAGATAGATTGATAGATAGAAGGGAGGTAGATACGTGAATCCTGAGGAGTTTTTAAGGAGCACAGATGCTTGGGCCCTAGCTCAGACCTACTTGGTCATGGCAAGACTCAGGCATCTGAATAGTTTAAGAGCCTCTACAACCGTTCTTAACTTGTAACTAGAACTGAGAACTTTTCTTCTAAGAACCTCAGATACAAGAAGGAAGATAGGCAGCAAACCAAGGGTGTAACAGGCTGTCTGGAGTGCTGCTTAACCCCACACATTGGCCTGTCTGAGTTCCTGCTCTGGACAAGTCAAAGACCGACAGTGTCCCAGTATAGCAAGTTCAATAACTGAGATATGAGCAAAGTGGTCTGGAGGCTCTGCGGAGGGGCTGAGTTGGCCAGAGACTCGGGTTAGTCCCCAGGGAGTTGCCAGGCACCCTGAGCCTGACCAAGGCCGGTATTTTGGATTCTGTTTTCCAGGGTTCTCCTCCGTCAGTGGTCCTATAGCAGTCCGTGGCGCAGAGCAGGGGCTGTTGACCGTGCAGTGTTGCTATGACTCAGGGTGGGAGACTTACCACAAGTGGTGGTGCCACAGGCAGCACAGCATTTCCTGCCAACTCTTCATTAAAACCACAGGTCAAAGCAGGAGGTGAGCAGGGGCCGAGTGTCCACCAGGGACAACCATGGACACCACTAATTCACCATAACCATGGAGGAGCTCAGGGGTGACAAAGCCGGCACTGACTGGTATGGGATTGCGAGAAATGGAACTGACCTTGGATTCCAAGTTAAAGTGGCCATTGTCTCAGGTAGGAACTAGTCCCTCCTGCACGCTGAGGCCCTGGTGCTGACGAGGAACAGAGGAGTCAGAACCTTCCCTCTGTCTTCCCCGAGGGATGGAGAAGAGTCTCAAAACCTGCCTGAGACTGCACCTATGCGTGAGTGTGCATGCATGTGAACGTATGCGTGCGTGTGCGCGCGTGCGTGTGAACGTATGCGTGCGTGTGCACGCGTGCGTGTGAATGTATGCGTGCGTGAGTGTGCGTGTATGTGAATATATGTGTGCGTGAGTGTGCGTGCATGTGCATGGGTGTGCGTATGTGCCTGTGTGTGTAGGTGCATGCAGCTGTATACATGTGTATGTGCATGTGTGTGTGCACATGCATATGTGTCCATGTGAGAGAGAGAGAGACAAAGGGGGATGGGGGACCAAGAGTCAGGAAAAACTAACAGAAAGAAAGCCGCGCATTCCACAGGTTTCCATCCTGGATTCTCAGAGGGAGCAGAGCAGGGCATGCTCAGCTCAGCTTGGGGAAAGGCTTGGAAAGAAAATCCTCCATTCCAGAACACTGGATCATGGCCTCTAGCCTCTGAGGACCCCAAGGTGACCAGGGGGACTGATTTGGTATGCAGGGAGGTGATGATAGAGAGCCATGATCCTGATTGTCCAGCTGCTGGAGAAGCACAGAGTGACTAAGAGTCTGTTGGTGACCCTCTTCCCTGCCCCCACCTCCCTCTTGCTATGGTAACATAAGGGTGAAGGAGGAAATGAGAGATTCTGAGACCATTAATGGGAGAAAGAAGGCACAGTTCCACCACAGCCCAGGGACCTTCCACGCTCTTTCCCATTGCTGCCTCAGAGCCTCTGAGGGGATCTGGACTCGGCCTCCTTGCCCCAGCAGCACCAGGGCCTCCCTCCAGAAGAGGCCAGAGAGAGACTCTGGTGGCAACCCCTGCCCCACAGCTCTCAGTCTCCCTCAGTCCTGCCTCTGCTGTGGGCACCAGGGACACTACCCTCCCCCACATACACACCCACACAAGCGCAGGCTCCGTAATATATCTGTTATTCACGGGCCTCTTTATAAAGCAGAGAAAAGCCATTTTAAACTTAATATATGCAAATATGGAGTACATGCTTATGTGTGGTGGGAAGGTCTCTGGGTTTTAGAATATTCTAAAAATTGACTGGAAAAGAGAAGAAAGCAGGAGTAGGTGTGTGCAAGAGTGGAGGAGGGGTGGGCACCAGTTGAATTGGGAGCTGGGAGCCTCCAAACACGACACGTCTTGTTCCAATTTCTCCACATCCTCACCAATACTCATGATTTTTCTATCTATATAATCACCATGCTAGTGGGAGTTAAGTGGTATAAACTTCTAAAAAGTTATTTTAGCTATTTTTAAAAATAACTTAATGGAGGTATAATTGTACACCTCAACAATTATATACAAAACATGTAGTGTACAGTTTAATGAGTTTTTCGAAATGCTATCCCATAGATTATTGTCTCCCAGTCAAGATCTTCACTGGAGTGGTGGTTATATGACTATCAGTTTCTCAAAACTCATTGAAAGTACTCTTTCCCCTCTGTAATTAATAAGGCTGCTTCGGGGGCAATAATGGGAAAGGAGTTGAGAAACCCTGCTCTAGTCTATTGAATAAAGCATTCACAGCCCACCCAGATTCAAGGGGAAGGGACATCAACTCCAGCTCTTAATGGGAGGAGTGTCAAAGAATTTGCACCTGTGTATTACCACAGCCACATGGAAGAATCTTCACGTAGCACTTTCTATCACATACGAGAATAACAAGACGGGCAGGGGCGAAGCCACTTCCTGAAGCCCAAGGCCTGGGAGCATAGCTGTCTTTGCCCCTGGATGCCAGCCTGGGCACGTCATCCCAAGGACCCATCTGTGCACTTAGGAAGGTCAGTTCCCCAGCCTGCTGGCATGCCACATGGTCCCGGACATAAACACTAGGCAGACACAGTGAGGCTCTGGAATTTCTGTCCTCTACTCAGAAGTCATGACTAGCATTCCTGAGTTACATGGGATTATAGACATGTTTTGTGCTAATCACAATCTTTTTTTAAATGGAATTTGTTGTCTATATGTAACAATGAGAAAATTTCACTTCTGGCTTCTCTTTGAAAGATAGGAATGCCTGCAAACAGTGGGCCCACAGTGCCACATGGCGATAACTGGCTGGCTGCTGCCCATTAGAGGGGACATGCATATCCCAGCTGACCACAGACTCCACCCCACCCTACTGTATTATACCCAGCTGTTTGACCCCTTTGTGTTATCTGTCTGGCACCTGTCGGTATTTGAGATTGCTACCACCACTTCATACTTTCAGGGGGCTGAAGTGGCTAGAGAGGAGAAAGGAGGAACCAAGCACAGGGACTGGATCCAGGCCCAGGAAAACCTCATTCCCTGTCTTACTCTGAGGACTCAAAGCAAGTGTACTCTAAGATCCAGGCCCCCCACCAGGCACAGGAACAAAATCCCCACAAGGCCCAAGACCCCTGCAAAGTCCAGTCACTTCTCCTCCTGCCCTGGGGCTTGGAGTCCGAAGGTCTTTCTCATCTTGTCTGAAGGGCCGTATCCCGGGACAAGGCATTCCTGGGATGGTGACCTGTGGTTCCTCCTGGACAGGCTAACTCTACTTCCCCCAGGATCCCTTTGAGGCCTGTTCACCCAGAGGACAGCACTGAGAATGCTCAGGAACAGGGGCACCTTCAGGAAGACCAGGAGCAGGAAGTGGATGCTGCTGAGCAGAGACCTGTGCGGGACAAGGTGACCAACAAGGAGTTGCCTCCTTGGGAGAGGCTTAATACCCTCCTCTCCCCACCTCTCCCTGCACTGTGACTCTAGAGCACAAATAATCCAGGGTCAAGCCTGAAAGGACCCATGCTAGAGCAGGCCCTCTCTGGGGCCGTTTGCCCGTACTCCTAGGTCAAGACCTGCCCTTGAGACTCTCTTCAAGGAGACATGATAGAGCAAAGAAGAAGAAGGACGCAGGTGGTCCCTGCTTTCCAGATCATGTTCCTGAGCCCACCTCTCTGTCCCCTCCCCCTCACAGTGTCCCCATTATCAGTCGACTTCTTGAAACCTGTCCTCACCCAGACTTTAAAGCCCTCACCCCTCCGTTCCCACCTGCCAGGGTCTAGCAACAGCATCACAAACCTTTCTGGGTATTTTTGGGGGGAGAGGGAGACCAGATGCAAACTCCAGCCTGGAGCCTTCCCTTCTCCCCACAGACCCCAAAGGCAACTCCTGGTAGCAGTATCCTCGGCAGAACAAAGACCTTTGAAGGTGACTCCAGATTAGGGACCCTAGAACCAAGACCTAGAGTCCAGAACCAGTGGAGAAGAAGAGGGGAAAGGGTGGGATTGGGTGAAGGGGTGGCATGTCCACCCATAACCAGCCTCTGGCCTGTACCCCACATTTGCCTTATGGGGGAGGGGCTCACAGCACAAGTGACATTTTCTACCCAGAATCCACCTGCTGCCTTCGAGTATGTGGAAACCAGGACCAGGTTTGGAGGAAAGCCCAGCACATGGTGAAAGTTTTGGGACATGGATGCTTCCACCAGCCCCCACCCCAGGGTGCCCAGTAAGGTGCTGAGCCCCCTCCCACTATAGTTTCCAGGATGTGAGCCCTTACCCCGGGTGGTGAGACAACGTGGTGCTGAGGTTTTGTCCAGCAGTCCCCAGAGGTGTGACTGGAAGTTTGGTCCTCTCTGTTGCTAAAATAAAAATCACACATCAGGTTACTGCTCTCCCTGCTGAGCTCTAAGACACCTGTTCGGATCTGATTCACATGGAGCCATTCGCTCACAGAAGGGGCTCGAGAGACGGCCTGAATCCACACCAGGCCACTTCCTGGGTGAAGTGTGGACAAGGAAACCTTCCCACCACCGCCTCATTTCCCATCATCTGCCCCTCAGGGCCCAAATGAGCCCTTCCCAAAACTTCCCACGAGAGTCATCTCCAACAAGAATCAGGTCTTTCTTTGAATCCCAAGTCTGACTCTGTCTGGGGTGAGGGTGGGGATGTCTTAGGGGCTTCTCCAGCCTGATGAGGAACTCCAAAAGGATAAGGGGCATGGGGAAGTCTGAAGAAAGATGGTTGAGCCTTTGGACCAGGGAACCTCACAGAAAATGGGTGGAGGCTCAGAGCACCCCCTTTCAAGTGGAGATCATTTGCGGCCACCTTTCCCACAACTGGAGAGGGAGGCAAAAAAACAGGGAACTCAGTGTAGAGGCAGTCACCAGATCCTCCCAAGGACTCAGGTGTCTTAGACTATTAGCATGACCTGTACCCTCACCCCCACTCCACTCCTACCCGTGATTCCCATAACAGAAGCTCAGGCCTTCATAGAGTGCCCAACAAGACTCCATTTCACCCAACAAACAGTCTTTGGCCTCCTTGCTGTTGGAGATTCATTGATGGAAATGATACCATCCCTGCCCTTACAGAGAGGCAGAGACACATAAAAAACTAGGCTAATTCCAATACAAAGTGGTGCGCACTCGAATGGAACTCTGTACCAGGCACAACAGGAGCACCAAGGAGGAAACATCCCATTCATCCACCTTCTGGGTAAGTGGAAAGGAGGAATGAGAAATGGGGTGGCACCTAGAGGAGGCTACATGGATGAGATGCATATTTTAGGACATGAGAGTCATAAACATGTGTTATAAGCTCAGGTGAAGGAATAGTGATGAGGAAGAGGCTGAGGACAAGACACGGCATGGATAATTGATGGAGTGAGAACATGGATGAGAGAAGAGGGAATTAGACTCAAGGTGATAGGGAGGCAAGGAGCCATGGGGTGAGAATCCAGCCTCAAGGATGATTGTCCTTGAACAGGAGGAGGAAAACGTTATCCTCATCCTGAAAGGGAAAGAGGGAAGGATGAGTTAGCCTGAACATGTTTATAGGTGGAGAAGGAAAGAAGTTGAGAGTTCATGTCTGATATCCTGCGTGCCTTTGGTAAGGTAGAAGAATAGGAGAGTAATATTGGAAATCAAGAACTTCTATTGACACCATATGCACCATTCTGTGGCTTTATTCCAGCAGTACTGAGCAAGTGGATTTCAGGGTAGAATGACATCTTGTCCTGGTTTGCCTAACATTTTCTAAGTTTTAGCAATGAAATCACAGTGTCCCGAGAAACCTCTCAGTCTTGGGAAAATCAGGATGGTTGGTACCCTAATTGGCCCAGAGATGAGAGTTTTGTAAAGTGGATAGAGAAATGGTGCCCGGGAGTTGAGGGTGCTGGTAACAGAAGAAAATACAGTCTACTATTGGTGTTCAGAGTTGCTTAGGAAGGAAGTGAGAACGGGGCAGGGTGGAGAGACAATAAATTGGGAGAAAATAGAGGAAGTGGAGGAAAGGACCAAAGGATTGGAGGTGTCTGTGAAGTTGAGAATAGGTATAATATGAGTGGGAGAGGACTGATTGATAGAAAGTTGTCAGAAAGTAGAATATTTCAGTGCAGGATTCTGGACATGGACCACTCTGGGGTGATGACAAAGTTTGTGATGTTGCCATGGGTGGAATTTTGAAAGAGTGTACATGAAGATCACTGAAAGTGAGAAGATCTTGGAACCCAAGGCAAGGGTGTTTGACAAGTTATTTATTAAAACCTCCCAAGATGATGGCAGGGCTTGGGGTCGTTGAATGTTGGGGAGTAACCTGGAAGCCAATAGACGGAATGTCAAGGAGAGGTAGAGGGTGGGTGAGGCCATGCGACACAAATTTTAAAGGGAGCGGATGGGAATATAAAAGGTGGGAAATTGTAATGGGAGTTGGGAGAATATGGACAAGGTTTCATGGTCCCAGAGCCTATGGGGTATAGAAGAGAGTAGCTTATACTCAAGAAGACTATTAAACAAGAGGAGTTTTCCCAAGTGAGGCCAATTTCAGGACAACATGGTAGAGGGAATGTTCTGTGAGGAAGCTGAAGATGCATGGGAGTTTGTTTCCTTTGGGACAGGCTTTCCAAAGTGTACAGTGGAAAGAACTTTGGCTCAGCCTGGAGGCGCCTCCACAGGCAATAGGGTGAGACCCAGGCCCTATAAGAATGAGGGTTCCATAAGCTGTGTTCCCCTCTGACCCATCCCAGAGCGGAAGGCTCAGCCACCTCCCTCCCTGCCCACATCCCAACTCCATGAAGACGAGGACAAGACCCAGAGACACAGGTAAGTTAGGCTCCTCTTCGCCCGCCCCCTGCTCAGTCACATCCCATAATTCTGCTGCTGGAGTGCAGGGAACTCTTATCTGGATACACAGACACATTAACCTGGACCGAGGGGTCATGTGACAATGCATCCAGGATCCACATTGTCTGAATTCTGCACCAGTAAGACCCAGCGTCATCTGTGTTGAGATTCTCCACCGTCACCATGAGGGTGAGGTTATCAGCATGGTCTCTGATGGTCACACAGCCATTCCTCTCTTCTTTCTCTTCTCCTTTGGTCTCCACAATTACGTCACATGCTGTGTCATACTGTCCTCAGCGCCAGTATTTGTTATACCCCTTGTACACATCCTCATACCGACACTGCACGCTCACAGAGCCCCCTGTGGTGCCACTTACAGAGCTGGGGCCTGTCAGAGATGGACAGCCTGGAAGACACAAGCCCACATCCCAGGTCTCCATCCAGATGGGCTCATAAGAGCTTTCCCTGAAGCTCAAGGGGTAGGGGATATAGGAGAGCAATAAATTCAGAATGGAAATACCAGATGGTGTAGCAGAGAGACCAACAGAAAACACTCTGGAATGTTTTGTGAATATTGCCTGTTTAGCTTTAATCTAAACATCCCCATGGCCAGGGAATGGAGCTCTGTGGAGAAGGCAGATTTGGGACTTCATTCTCAGCTCTTCTACTTAGCTGAAATGTCATGGGCTAATCCCTTCACCACTTCATCTGTCAAATAGAAATAAAGCTATCTTCCCTGCCTAGATCCCAAAGTTGTCAGAAGGTCAGATTGTGTCATAGATTTGAAAGTGTTTGCAGACTGTGAAATGCGTAATAAATCAGAGTTTGCCCATTTTATATTGAAATTCACTTTCTTCCTCTATATTCGACTTCACCTCACTACCTTTGTCCTTTTTTTCCTCATTCTGCAATTGTCCCTTCTTTCTTTTCATCTCTTTCTCATTCCTCATTCGCATGCTGGAAATACAACCTTTTCAGGTCCCCTCCATAAATTAAAAGAGACCACAAGTTTTCCAGACAGTTTGTAACACCAGATAGGTGCGATGGGTGGAGGAGTATGCTGGGAAAGAAAGCAGGGAGCTGAGCCAGGCACACCAATGAAACAAGACAAGCTGTAGAACATCTGAGCCCAGAAGGAATCCCCAGCTGCAAATTACCATGGATGTGAGCTGAACCTGTGGGGTTGGAGATGTCAGCCTGCTCCACACAAGAGAGACGGGAAAGAAATTTCCAGCTTCAGTTTAACCCAGGCTAGGGCACATTTAGATAAAAATTAGCAGATTTAAGCAAGAAGGTACCACAAGCAGTTATCTGCCAGTAAACCAGCTCTTGGGGATGGAGGTAGGGACCCCTGATTTGTATGTAGCTTTTGCTGATTCCTGTGGTGTAAATACTCTCATCGTGACTGATTTTAAGCTAACAACATGCCATCACTGAATGCAGAGTTGGGAAGACATAACCATAATCGGCTCTTTTGAGCCGAATACCGGTGGCATAGCTTCCAGCATCACAGCAACACAGAAGCCCCCCCACGTGTCTGGCAGTTTGTCTTGCTGTGGGGGCTTGTGTGTTGCCGTCATGGTGGAAGCTATGCCACTGCTATTCAGATACCAGTAAGGTCCCCATGCCGGACAGGTTTCCACTGAGCTTCCAGACTAAGACAAACTAGGAAAAAGGACCCAGCAGTCTACCTCTGAAAGGAATTAGCCAGTGAAAACCTTATAAATTACAGGGGAAAATTGTCTGATATCATGTCAGAAGATGAGCCCCCCAGGTTGGAAGGCACCCAAAAGACGACTGGGGAAGAGCTGCCTCTTCAAAGTAGAGTCAACCTTAATGACGTGGATGGAGTCAAGCTTTCGGGACCTTCATTTGCTGATGTGGCATGACTCAAAATGAGAAGAAACAATTGCAAACATCCATTAATAATCAGAACGTGAAACGTACAAAGTATGAATCTAGGAAAATTGGAAATCGTCAAAAACGAAATGGAATGCATAAACAGCGGTATCCTAGACATTAGTGAGCTGAAATGGACTGGTATTGGCCAGTTTGAATCAGACAATCATATGGTCTACTACGCCAGGAACGAAGACTTGAAAATCAATGGCGTTGCACTCATCATCAAAAAGAACATTTCGAGATCTATCCTGAAGTACAACACTATCAGTGATAGGATAATATCCATATGCCTACAAGGAAGACCAGTTCATACGACTATTATTCAAATTAACACACCAAAGACTAAGGCCAAAGATGAAGAAATTGAAGATTTTTACCAGCTTCTGTAGTCTGAAATTGATCAAACATGCAATCAGGATGCATTGATAATTACCGGTGATTGAAATGCATAAGTTGGAGACAAAGAAGAAGGATCGGTAGTTGGAAAATATGGCCTTGGTGATAGAAATGATGCCAGAGATCCTATGATAGAATTTTGCAAGACCAACAACTTCTTCAATGCAAATACTTTTTTTCACTAACATAAATGGTGGCTATACACATGGACCTCGCCAGATGGAATACACAGGAATCAAATCAACTACATCTGTGGAAAGAGATGATGGAAGAGCTCAGTATCATCAGTCAGAACAACGCCAGGGGCCAACTGTGGAACAGACCATCAAGTATTCATATGCAAGTTCACGTTGAAACTGAAGAAAATTAGAACAAGTCCACCAGAACCAAAGTGCAATCTTGAGCATATCCCACCTGAATTTGGAGACCATCTCAAGAATAGATTTGACGTGTTGAACGCTAATGATTGAAGACCAGAGGAATTGTAGAATGACATCAAGGACATCATACATAAAGAAAGCAAGAGGTCATTAAAAAGACAGGAAAGAAAGAAAAGACCAAAATGGATGTCAGAATAGACTCTGAAACTTGCTCTTGAACGTCGAGTAGCTAAAGCAAAAGGAAGAAATAATGAAGTAAAAGAAATGAACAGAAGATTTCAAAGGGCAGCTAAAGAAGACAAAGTAAAGTATTATAATGACATGTGCAAAGAGCTGGAGATAGAAAACTAAAAGGGAAGAACATGCTCGGCATTTCTCAAGCCAAAAGAAATGAAGAAAAAATTCAAGCCTCCAGTTGCAATAGTGAAGGATTGTATGGGGAAAATATTAAACCACACAAGAAGCATCAAAAGACGATGGAAGGAATACGCAGACTCATTATACCAAAAAGAACTGGTCAATGTTCAACCATTTCAAGAGGTAGCATATGATCAGGAACTGATGGTACTGAAGGAGGAAGCCCAAGCTGTGCTGAAGGCATTGGCAAAAAACAAGGCTCCAGGAATTGACGGAATATTAATTGAGGTATTTCAACAAATGGATGCAGCCCTGGAGGTTCTCACTTGTCTATGCCAAGAAATTTGGAAGACAGCTACCTGGCCAACCAACTGGAAGAGATCCATATATATGCCTGTTCCCAAAAAAGGTGATTCAAACGAACGCGGAAAGTATTGACCAATATCATTAATATCACACGCAAGTAGCATTTTGCTGAAGATCATTCAAAAGTGGCTGCAGCAGTATGTCGACAGGGAACCTCCAGAAATTCAGGCCGGATTCAGAAGAGGACAGGGAACCAGGGATATCATTGCTGATGTCAGATGGATCCTGGCTGAAAGCAGAGAATACCAGAAAGATGTTTACTTGTGTTTTATTGGCTATACTAAGGCATTCAACTGTGTGGATCATAACAAATTACAGATAACATTGTGAAGAATGGGAATTCCAGAACACTTAATTGTGCTCACAAAGAAACTGTACATAGATCAAGAGGCAGATGTTCAGACAGAACAAAGGGATACTTTGTGGTTTAAAGGCAGGAAAGGTATGCGTCAGGGTTGCATCCTTTCACCATACCTATTCAATCTGTATGCTGAGCAAATAATCCAAGAAGCTGGACTATATGAAGAAGAATGGGGCATCAGGATTGGAGGAAGACTCATTAGCCACCTGCGTTATGCAGGCGAGACAACCTTCCTTGCTGAAAATGAAGAGGACTTGAAGCACTTACCGATGAAGATCAAAGACCACAGTCTTCATTATGGATTATACCTCAACATAAAGAAAACAAAAATCCTCACTACTGGACCAATAAGCAACATCATGATAAACAGAGAAAAGATGAAGTTGTCAAGGATTTCATTTTACTTGGATCCACAATCAACACCCATGGAAGCAGAAGTCAAGAAATCAAAAGACGCATTGCATTGTGCAAAGCTGCTGCAAAACCTCTTTAACGTGTTGAAGAGCAAAGATAGCACCTTGAAGACTAAGGTGCACCTGACCCAGGGAATGGTGTTTTCAATCACATCATATGCATGTGAAAGCTGGACAATGAATAAGGAAGATCGAAGAAGAATTGAAGCCTTTGAACTGTGGTGTTGGCGAAGAATATTGAATACACCATGGCCTGCCAAAAGAATGAACAAATCTGTCTTGGAAGAGGTACAACCAGAATGCTCCTTAGAAGCAAGGATGGCGAGACTACGTCTTACTTACTTTGGACATGTTGTCAGAAGGGGTCAGTCCCTGGAGAAGGACATCATGCCTGGTAAAGCAGAGGGTCAGTGAGAAAGCAGAAGACCCTCAAGGAGATGGACTGACAGAGTGGCTGCAACAATGGGCTCAAGCATAACAATGATTGTGAGCCTGGCACAGGATCAGGCAGTGTTTCGTTCTGTGGTACATAGGGTCGCTATGAGTCAGAACCGACTCGATGGCACCTAACAACGACAACAACAACATAAGCAGCTCCAGTCACCACTGCTTTGGGTGCCCGTTTCATTAATCATGGTGATCACAAAGTGTCCACTGCACTCTACAGTTTGTCCATCATCATCATCTAAGACTTTTCAAGTACTTCCCATGTGTAAGGAGATGCATCTCCTTACACATGTCTTTCTGAGTCTAGGATCATAGATTACAGGGGCCTTAAGGGACCTTAGAGATCACCCAGTCCACTCTCTCCTTTTATTGACAAGAAAACTGTCTTTTGGTTAATGTCACCAGCTAGTCTTCCTCCTTTAAATCTCTTGCTTTCTCATTAACCACGTGGGAAGAGGCTGGTCATCATGTTGGGCGTCATGAGGGAACTCAACCATAAAAATCATTCTAATGTGAAGAACATCCTCTATATTTTATCCTAAACTTATTTCCCACAGAAAAATGTGCACTCGTGCATTCTGAATGTATTTTTAAAAGTACATTCCGAAGGTTCAATCTTTGCAGGACAATTTTGTTTTCTTAGCCCGACACCTTGTTCCAGGAAGGATTTAAAGTGGATGTTTAGGATGTTTCATTATTTCCTTCTTCTTTTTCTTTATTATGCTTTAGGTGAAAGTTTACAGCCCAAGTTGATTTGTCATACAAAAATTTATACCATATTGCTATGTGACATTGGTTTCAATTCCTACCATGTGACAGCACACTCCCCCTTTCCATCCTGGGTTCCCTGTGTCCATTCAACCAGTTCCTGTCCCTTCCTGCCATCTCATCCTGCCTCTGGACAGGAGCCACTCATCTGGTCTCGTGTATCTGATTGAACTAGGAACCACACTCTTCACGTGTATTATTTTATGTTTTATAATCCCGTCTAACTTTGTCTGAAGAGTGGGCTTCGGGCATGGTTTTAGTTCTAGGTTAACAGAGTGTCCAGGGGTTTCAGGGGTTCCTCCAGTGTCAGCCGAACTATTAAGTCTGGTGTTTTTATGTGAATTTGAGTTCTCTGCATTTTTCTCCCACTCCATCTGGGACTCTTTGTTATGTTCCCTGTTAGGGCAGTCATTATTTCCTTCTAACAAACTTTTCCAATCCCTTTAAACTAAGTTCTGGCAAAATAGAACTATTGGCTGATTCCTGAGCCTTCCACAATCTTTAGTATCTCTACACTTCCATATATTCCCATTTTATGTTCTGCCAACTCATTCATCCTTCAAGACTGACTTCCAAAGAATCCTCAGTGAAGATTTCCATCTTTCCAGAAGCAGAATTAGAGGTCCCTGTTGTGCACTCTCAAGATGTGTATATATCTCTACCACATCAAGTTCCACATTGCATCGTTTAATTCACTGCCTCATTCAACCATGAGTCCGAGTGCAAATGTGACTTGCAAATGTTACACAGCTCCCAGAACAGTTCTGGCACATACTTGGGGCTCAGTCAATGTTTGTAGGACTTGTCCACCAATGTATGAACGTGTGAAAGGATATATAGAAGGATTAATGGATGTTGCCTTCCCATTTCTGCTGACACTTCACTTCTGGTTTAAACCTAGGACTGACCCTTCTACCTACTATCCTTCCCCCAGAAATACCAGGTTCTCAAAGCCCCAGCCCCACTCACCTGGGAGACAGAGAAGGAGCAGCACTGGGGGCAGCCACATGATCCTGTCTCCCTGGTGCTGTCCCCAGCAAATTCAGGTCTCAGTTGGAATCCAGGTATTTGTAACAGAAACTAGAGTCATCTACCTTCTATTTGTTTAAAGTTCTTTTGTGTTTTTCTCTCATCTGCTTCCTTTTTCACTTCTCAGCAACTTCCTAATTTTAAGAAAAAAAAAGAAGAGAGGCAAAAGACACTTCAGAAAATGAACTAAAAGCAGTGAGGGAAATCTGCTGATTTTTCCCCCTTCATTTAAAGACAATATGATGTTTAGGGCACAATCTGATCCTTCATGAAAGTCCGTCACAATATATGAAACATCCAACAGAGGAGGCTGCTTGTCCCCTGCCTCATGCACTCTTCTTCCTGCCTGGCGCCTCTTCCTTGATCTACTCAGTTGCCCCTTCTCTCTGGCTGCCTACATTAGATCATAACATTTATTTGCACACCTGGGGTGAGGACTCCTCATGTTTCTCTCTCAACCATTTTCTCTGTACAGATGACCCCATACCTTCCTCTGATTCAGTGTCCTTCCTGGGCTCCAGACCTAACACTCCTGTGGGGAAACTCCACTGATTGTACACTCTTAACTGAGTTAAGTAAAGAGTCATCATTAAGAGCATAGATTCTGGAGTCACACGAACTCAAATACCATCCTCATCATTTACTAGCCATGTGCCCTTGGACATGTTACTAAATCACTCTCATCCTCAGTTTCCTCATCTGTCAAATGAAATAATAGTAATAATTCTTTTCTCATAGAGTTGCCATAGGAAATAAATAAGTCAATGCAAGTAAAGTGCTTGGCACAGTGCCTGGAACATAGTAGCTGCTCAGTAAATATCTTTAGAATAATCCTGGACCATTGAAGTAGCTTTCCATCTCAGCCAGCTATACATTCCCTCCAATCCAGTTTACACATCAAAAGCACATTCTTCTCTAAGATGCAGGTGTCTGAAAATAATAATTCCAGTGATAGCCCCCAACAGGTGCTTCTACTTCTTCTCTTTCCCAAGACAGATGCCCATAGTCTAACCTTCACTGTCTTTCAGAACACTCTACTGATTACCTGGCATTTCTAAACTTTGCTATCAAAGCACAACTTCTTGTCTCCTCTCTTTTACCATATCTGATGAAGTATGATATACAGGATTGAGTCCTGGATGGGACAGCAAAACACATGGGTCCTAGTCCTATGTATATTACTCGCCACTCACCTGGGGAACCCAGGACGAGCAGAGCTGATGGTATGAGCAAGTTGTGTGCCTCTGTGCCATTTCTTCAGCATAGACAACAGCTGGAGGCTTCAGTTCTCCCCCAAAAAGAGGATGGAACAAATCTCCAACTCTTTCAGTTCTACTTTTATGTTGTTTCCCTCTGCTTTTTTTCCCAATCCAGTCCCTGGAGTTGTTTATAAAATAAATAAAATTGGAGTGAACAAAGGTAAGAACAGATGATTGAAAAAATATATGAAAATACGTCCAATGTGGTCACATTTCATTATGATACAAGAAAGTCCAAATTCCAGGCCATGTGGCAGACTGAGCGAACATAGAGACTCCCCACTAGTTCCAAACACTGAAATTGTGTATAAAATACATCATGTTTTAATGCATAATTGAAATCAAAATCAAGAAAGAGAAATCCCCAGAGGCCAGAAATGTAAAGGGAACTGAATGCCAGAACCGTGAACAGGATCTGATACCAAATGTCTAATGGGGACTGTTAGAAATGGATATGGGCTTTAGAAGCTGGAGGAGGGGTGCTGTCTGTATAGAGCTGGGTCCGTGAAGGGTCATCACATCCATGAAGCCAGGGAGGGGAAACTCCATCAACTGGCTCAGGGAGGCATCAAGGCATCTTGGCCACCTAGAGCCATAAGGAGTTGGAAAGTCTGTCACGAGAATTGGCACTTTCAGTTGCACTGCAAAGAGATGTGAGACTCAGAGTCATAGCTTCCATGGTATGGAGGTCTCTGGTAAAGCAATCAATATAAAAGCGGGTTGACAGATGATGAGGTTTGTAGGACCTTGGAAGAGTTGAACACAAAACCACAACCACACCTTCAGGCACTGCCTGTTTTTGTAGGACCTATGAACTAAGGTTCATTGAAAGCAAGGGAAACCCTCAGAGAGATGGGTTGACACAACAGCCACACAAGGGACTCAAAGCAGGGCTTCAAACCTGTTAGGTCTTGTTCCAACCCCTGCTGAGCATTTGCATTTCTAACAAGTTCCCAGGTGATGCTGATACTGCTGGTTAGGGACCAGTTCTGAGAACCACTAGTAGAGCTATGGTTCTCAAAACTTATCATCCATAAGAATCACCTGGGGATCTTGTTAACCTGTAGATTCTGATTCAGTATATCTGGGATGGAAATGCAAACCGAAACGAACCGGTTCGAAGCACTGGCTTAAATATACCAGCAACCGCGAAGATGGCTCAGGACCGGACAACACTTCTTTCTGTTCTATATTAGGTCACCATGAGCCGGAGCAAACTCCTCTGCAGCTAGCAACAACGTGAGCTAAGGATAGGTTTATAATTTATTTATAAATGGTTGAAAAAAATCAAAAGAAAAATTGTATTTCGTGATCCATGAAAAGTATATGAAACTAAAATTTTCAAGTATGTAAATAAGTTTTATTGGATCAGAGCCTTATGTATTGCCTGTGCCAGCTTTTGTGCTACAACCATGGAGTTGAGTAGTTATGACAGAGACCATATGGCTCACAAAGTCAAAAATGTTTACTGTCTGACCCTTTGTAGAGAAAGTGTGCCAGCCCTCGGATGAGATACCAAGAGAATGAGTGAAGAGGGCTGAGTTGCCAGGCTCTGTAACATTTACAGATTAAGTGGAGGAGGGACAGTTAAGTAAGGAGTGTCTAGTGAAGCAGGAGGAGCCTGGTGGTGCAACAGTTACGCACTTGGCTGCCAACCAAAAGATCAGCAGTTGAAATCCACCAGGGGTTCCTAGGAGAAAAGAGCTAACAATCTGCTCCCATAAAGAATGCAGCCTAGGAAACCCTACGGGGCAGTTCTGCTGTGTCCTATAAGGTTGCTACGAGTCGGGATCAACTCCAGGGCACACACAACAGCAACAGCAGTGAAGCAGGGGGAGATCCAGGAGAGTCTGAAAGCAAAGAATGGAGCAAGTTCCTAGAAGGAAGGAAGGAGTGATGGACTGAGTCAAGCGCTGCTGAGAGGTTGAGTAAGATGTGGAAAGAGAAGATGCCTTTGGATCTCGCACCAAGGGAGGTTGCTGGTACCCTTGTCAAGAGCGTCTTATTAGATGGCGGGGAGAGAAGCCAGATGGAAATGGTTAAAGAGCAAATGAGAGATGAGGAAAGCTAGTGTCAGTGAGTGTAGACAGTGCTCTTCAAGAAACTCTAAGAAAGAAATCAGAGGGAAATGGAGAGCTCTGGGGGGCTGAGGGGACTGTCTTTATTAAGAGGGAATCTAGTCCTTGGGTGGTGCAAAGAGTTAACAAGCTCAGCTGCTAATCAAAAGATCAAAGGTTCAAGTTCACCCAGAAGCTCCTCAGAAAAAAGGCCTGGAGATCTACTTGCAGAAAATCAGCCACTGAAAACCCTATGGAGCACAGTTCCACTGTAACATACATGGGGTTGCCGTGAATCACAGTCGACTCCATGGCAGGTGGTTTATTCCAGTGTGGAGATAGAGTGAGTGGGCAGGTCTGCTGGAAAATCTGTCTTTTTTGATAGGCAGGCTCCAGGATATCATTCTGCTTCTTAAAGAATGTAAAATCCAAGCACAGAGATAGATTTAATCACATAAAATTAAGAAACATTGGAGTGTAAAAAAATAAAAAAGATAAACAACAAAATAAGATAAATTGAAACAGGAATGTAAAAAAAATTACTATATGAAGAGCTTATGCAAATCAAAAAGAAAAATACTAAAACCCTAGAAGAAAAATTGCCAAAGGCTAAAACCCTCAGTTCACAAAAGAAAAAATGCCAAGGGCTAATATTCAACAGAAGAAAAAAAATTGTTTAACCTCATTGGAAGTCAAACACATGAATATATTGCATGATAAAAGTATAAAAATTTCTCCAGTTAGCCAAGATGTGTTTAACAGCCAATAAAGGCAGCCAAGGGGTGGTGCCGTGGGCACCCCATATACAATTAGTGGCTGACACATTGCTCTAATTCTGCAAAGCAACTTGACAATAACTCTGAAGAGCTCTAACAACGGACTTTGTCGTTGCCTAATAATTGTACTTCTCATAATCTGGTCTAAGACAAAATTGGGAACGTGGACACATGTTAGTGAAAATTCAGAAAGATCCGAATCATTCAACAATAGGATACTATATAACTATTACAAGTACTATACAGCTGTGTCTTAGGCTGTGTTCTCTAGAGAAGCAAAACAAGTAAAGTATGTAAATATATATATAGAGAGATTACATCAAGGAAACAATTCAAGTGATTGTAGAGGCTAGAATGTCCCAAGTCCGTGGATCAGGGTAGAGGCCTCTCCCAAGTCACACAGCCACAGAAGCTGGCAAGCCCAAGATCGGCAGGTTGGAGAGCAAGGCTCTGGCTCACAGGCTGTGCAGATGGACGAATCCCAGGTTCGGCAGATAAGCTGACAGCCCAAGTCCCAAGAACGGGAGTTGAGATGACAGGAAACAGCTGCAGGATCCAGAGAGAGCAAAAAGCCAGAATGTCTGCTTATATACAGATGCAGGCCACACCTCCAAGGAGACTCCCTTTCATCTGACTGGCTACTCACAGTATATTCAATCATGGGAGTGATTACATTAAAACATTATAACTATAGTTAGGTATGTGGTATAAAGAGCCCTGGTGGCGCAGTGGTTAAGAGCTCAGTTGCTAACCAAAAAGTCGGCAGTTCAAATCCACCAGCTGCTCCTTGGAAGCCCTATGGGACAGTTCTACTCTGTTCTGTAGGGTTGCTATGGGTTGGAATCGACTTGACAGCAATGGGTTTTTTCATTTTATGTGGTATAAAGGAAATAATAGTGGACA